TTGTCCAGATCCTTTCTTTAGTGGGGGGCTCAAAACTGGACACAGTACTCCAGATGTGACCTCACCAGTGCTGAATAAAAGGGAATAATCACTTCCCTTGATCTGCTGGCAACACTCCTACCAGTGTAGCCCAGGGTGCCGTTAGCCTTCTTGGCAACAAGGGCACACTGCTGACTTATATCCATCTTATTGTTCACTGTAACCCCCAGGTCCTTTTCCGCAGAGCTGCTGCTTAGCCAGTTGGTCCCCACACTGTCCTGGTACATGGGATTGTTCCATTCTAAGTGCAGGACTTTGCACTTGTCCTTATTGAACATCATGAGATTTCTTTTGGCCCAATCCTCCAACGTGTCAAGGTCACTCTGAATCCTAGCCCAACCCTCCAGCGTATCTACTCCTCCCAGCTTGATGTCATCTGCAAACTTGCTGAAGCCGCAATCCATCCCATCTTCCAGATCATTAATGAAGATGTGGAACAATTAATTGAACAAAAAATATACTGAACAAAAACACAGAAAAACAGTAAATGCTTTAGGGGAAAGGTAAGTGAATGAGGCAAGTCTAAAGTGATCCATCCATTGCCATGCCCTCCCCACCCCCAGCAGCAACCAGCATTGGCCTAGGGATGTCAGGGATCCTATATATGTGCCCCGGTACCATTCTTAGGCTCATCCAAGACAGAGAGTTAGCTCACTTCTGCACTCTATTGGTACCACAAAAGGTGACAAACTATGATAAAAAAAATCTTAATGCATCTTTAAAAAACTAAGTTTGATCTAATTTGGCACCACAAATAATTAAATGCTTTCAGATACAGGCACTGCATGATGTCAGGACAAACCACAGTTGAAGTTGTTCATTCCCACATGCAGAACTAAGGCGCCTCATTGCTTTAAGGATAAAAAAATACCACCCTGTCTCATGCCCTTTACAAATATTTGGATTTGCAAACATCTGGCGCAATTCCTCAGTCTCTGAGAGAGGTGTTACCTTTCTTCTGCCAAGCGATTTAGAAGAGAGCAACTGTACTACATAAAAGACATATGCTACATATATGTTTCTTTTTTTAATAATACAGCTAACACAAAATGCTACATTTACATAGGTGATGAGAGTTCCTTATGATTTAGATCAGGGGAAACATGAAAAATGAGGTTTCACGTGCTCAAACTCAGCAAGTGCATCTGAAGCAAATAGTCTGATTTAACTCCATGGTGCCAGTATTGGAATACCACACTACACCTGGTTGATCATACAGAGGGTGAAATTTTAAAAAACGAGGGGTTTAAGCTCTTCAGCAGTAAGATATCGCCATTTGCAATGGAATCCTTGGTCTCTAAGCACTTTGTCATGAATTAAAAACAGTTGCTCATTGGCAGCTATGAATTATATGTGCATTTGCTGCTTATTAGGGGATGGGTTGTCACCTAACAACCCAGCCTATGTAAGAGAAAGTGTGGAGCTCTTCTGTCCCAGGAGCAGCTGGTCTATTTGGGCACATCACAGCCTAGGGCTGTTCCCTGCACTGTGTGGGAGGTAATCCATCATCGGCACAGACTTTCTGTATTGCTTTTGGAGGGTGAGTTGGCATGATGAGGATGAGTTGGCATAATGCCACAGCTCCTCCCACTTCCTTCTACTATGTACTATTGCCAACTACTTTCATGGTAGGTTGTGTAACAGTCTGGTCGTCATGGTCTTGTTTCCCTAGAAATCTCTCCCTAGAGATGAGTGGGAGAGGCGCTGGGGTTCTCAAGGGCAGGGGAACTCAGTGCCCAAGATGAGTGGTCATTCCTTAAGGAGACGATACTCAGGGCCCAAGGGGTGACCATCCCAACAAAAAACAAGGGGGGCAAGAGTGCCCGAAAGCCCCCCTGGCTCACCAAGGGTGTACGGAAATGCCTGATTGCCAAAAAGGTGGTGTACACCTGGTGGAAGGGGGGTGCTGTCTCCAAGGAGGAGTATACCCCCTCTGCTCAGGCCTGGAGGGGGGCTGTCAGGAAAGCTAAGGCGGACATAGAGCTAGGACTTGCATCCAAAATCAAAGATAATAGAAAGTCCTTTTTCAAATATATAGGGAGGATGAAGAAAGCACCGGGTAATGTGGGGCCCCTGCAAGACCCTCTGGACAATCTGGTGGTTGCACCAGAGGAGAAAGCAGACCTCTCTAACCAATTCTTCACCTC